AAGGTTTTTGTGGTTATTTATTTCTTCAGAATCAGAATCATCCATCCATTTCCTTCCGCCTTTCCTTTCCAGGGTTGCGGGGGGCGCTGGAGCCTATCCCAGCTGTTATAAGGTGAGAGGCGGGGTACACCCTGGACAGATTGCCAGTCTGTCACAGGGCTAACACATAGAGACACAGCAACCATTCGCACTCACATTCACTCACAGATTCACACCTATGGGCAATTTAGATTAATCAATCAACCTATCCCCACTAACAGAATCAGATATACTTTATTAATCCCGAAGGAAATTATGGTTTACAGCAGGCAGCATGCTAGTTGGCGCATTCGCACTTACAAGGAACCTTCTGACCAAACATGCTTTAGACATACATCACATTAGGGAAGCCGGTTAGAGAGGTAGGCTGATAGGAAAGAACAACAAAATTAAACAAACATGAGGTGAGAGGAGAAAAAACTCCACCCAGACTGAGCTCCTAATGGGAGAACAGTTTGAGAGCAGAAAAAATCACCTCAGCACAAAAAAGCACATGGCTGTTATTACACCATAGAAACACATGACAAACAACACATGACAAGTAACTTCTCTGGCTCTTGATGAAGGCGGTCGCACTTTCTCCCTTCCTTTATCTTTCCTGCTTGGCTTTCTCATGTCTCTGTCTAGTCTTGTCTACTTTTCTCTCTCTACCCTGGAAGAGTCTCACAGTCTGTTCTCTAAAACCTAAAAGAGGAATTATGGATTTGATCAACTGGCCCCTGAATGCAATTGACACCCTCTTCACAACGAGAAGCCTGGGTTTGGAAGAGACCGTGTGTCCTGGAGGGACGTTCTCTGCCGGATACATGATGGATGGGTGGAAGGACTGGAGGGTTGTGTGCCTGGTGGGACTGTCGACCAAGGACATTGAAGACCTTTTTGGAACCATGATAACAGGGTTCTTGCTGATAGGCGCTGGCTTGGCCCTGGCTTATCGAAGAATAAAGAAAGCGGAAACGGCTGTTCAAATTCCCACAAGGCTGCCCGCTATGTTGATTGGAACGATGGAGTGAGCCGTGGCTTCTCAGAATGGGCTCATTAGACGCAGCCCGGATGACATCTTGGAGAAGCTTGTGGCTGCTGTGAGTACTGAGACTCTGACAACATCTGACAACATCTTGGAGAGGCTCACGGCTGTCGTGAACACTCGTGCTCTATGAGCAAACTGGATAACATCTCGGTGTAGCTGGATAACATCGTGGAGAGGCTCACGGCTCTCCATTGGGAATGGTGAGGAACCAGTGATGGACATTAGACAGACTGTAAAATTGTCATGCAGTGGTTTGCACTAAAGAAAGAACACCACCATTATTTCATGCGGCTACCATATCGGCGCCTGCTGCGGTCTCAAGGCTGGAGCTGAACATAACAAACAATTTGTCCCCTGATAACAAACTGTGTTTAGACTCTTCGTTCCAAACGCCCTCGTACGCTTATCTCCAAGGCTGAGTCGGACGGCGGGTCTGGGCCCAGCGCTGGATGAATAGCTGCAGGGCAGCATGGCTGTGTCTGCATCAGCTTCTCACCCCTTACCCACCCCTGTTGCTTTTCACGTGCTTCATGATGTTGTGATCTGGACATTTATGTGCTCTTTGTGCAGAGGAGTTTTTTTTTTCTGTTCTCATGCTGTCCTCCCATAGGAGCCCCCAAGTCCCCTCCTCGACTTGCCCATTGTGTTGTACATTTCAGTGTTTTTCCATAATACTACCGGTCTCCGACCTGTCTCCCCATGTGATGTCTGTGTTGTGTATGTAAGGTCGGGGTGGGGAGGCTTTCTTGACTGGTGGAAATTCCTAAAACGAAGTCTTCACTTATCCCTTTGAATCAGTGGGTAACTGACACTTTAACTTATATTTTATTGTTATTATTGTATTGTTAGGCGGTTGTAGGCAAAAGACCTGCAACTGACAAATAAAGGCTATCTCATCATCTCATCATTATTGTTGTTTGTTTGTCGTATTTATTATTCTTATCGTACCTTTCATATTTCTGGAAGTAAACTTCTTTTTACATAAAAAAACCCCCCCTTAAATTCTGAGCAAGCACCGAGCACGATGCCACGGGAATGTGAAATCCACAGAGAAACCCCTGGATCCCCCCACTGACATGACCGCTGCAGCACCGGGCAAACCTCCACCAACCCCACTCCTGCTAAACTGGTGACAACCGAATTAAGAGCGACAGGACTCAGTGCCACTGAGTCTTTGGTTTTATTTATTTTCTGCTGTGTTTTAATTGCATGTATTTGAAAGAGTGAGGGTAAACATACAAAAAAATATTTCATATGCTGGAATATGCAGAAAAAAGGTCAAAAACCAAATTTCTACAAGACAAAGATTGTTGCATATAATTTAATTTTTGCTTGATGCATAAAGTTAAAAGATTAAAACTAACAAAACAAGTTTTAAAAAGAGACTTTTTCATTTGATTACATTTTATATGATAGATTATACAGAAAAAGTAGAATTGGACATCACTAAGTTTTTGCAAAGGTCTATTGATTTATTACCTATTCGGGTTTTGTATCGTGTTTTCAAGAAGTAACTAAGTAACTGAGTAACAAATTACTTTTCTCAAGTAACTAAACCAGCACTGTTGGTGAACATATTCTGTTTCCAAAAGCTGCCAGACATTGTTATTGTGCTGTTTATTCATCCTTGCTCTTTGACTCTGAGCCTCCTCCGTGTGTCAGTATCCTGTTAGCATTTCTCTGGATGAAGCTCCCTTGAAAACATCTCTACCAAATAAACTCAACTTTTAGAAGGACCTCACCTGCCTGCCCACTCTCCATCCCTTCACATCCTATCAGCCCATTGCTCCTCTTCATGAATCCCTGTCCTCTACTCCTCATTCACCTCATGTTAATAAATCTCTTGTGACGGCCTTTTATGTTCCAAACACCAAAAAAGTCCAAGAAAAGGCCAACAACAACGGGAGGTTTGTTTTAGAACACATTTCTTACTTCATTGTTTAAAATTATATGGTGTTTATTTCGTGGAAAATTACAAACAAAAAACCCCAAATAACTTCTTGCAATTTAAAATGAAATGAAAGTCAACTTAATTTGCTTTAACAACTTCAAAAAGTGGTGAAAAAAATATTTTTTTAAACCCTCCCGTTGTCCCATCTGAAATTTGGCAAACAAAAAACATCTGTGCCACACCCCTCCAGGGTGCTCTTAATCCCTTGATTGATGGGAGGGTCCATAAGCTAATAAACCAATCACTTTCCAAAAATAAAATTAATTGCAAATTTACATAACAAAAACTAGGTCCACATATTCTTACAACTTTGAAGAAAAAACAAAAATGAATACAAATTGCGATTTATAATCATTCAACAAAAATGGCCACAGCATCTCTTAAACTTGCCTCTGAGTATTGCATCTGCTTTTACTGCTGCTACTTCTCTTTAACTTCTCTTTAACCTTGTAAAACAAGGAAGCAACCTATGGAATACGCGAAGTCCTGATTTCTTCTATCTGAAACAGTCAATGTATCTCAAAAGGAGAAATGGAAGTAGTGCATGCTTCCAGTGCTAACCACCGTGCCTGAAAGGACTTAGTTACTCATTTGCTTACTTACACTGGACATATTGAGGACCTGGTAGCAGTTCAGAAGGAGTAAGAAGCCCTTTTTCTTGAGACCCTTTTTCTTTTGTTTATTGGCTGGGAGAGAATTGCCCTTTATTTCTGTTATATATATATAGAATAAGGATCATTATGTATGCATCAGTATGACTGTGCAATGACAATAAAGAGTTATCTTATTGTTAGTGTCATGGTCCTGGGTCTTATTGACCCAGTGTTTTGAGTTCTCTTGTATTTTTTTGTCATTTGGTGTTACTTTATTATTAACCTCCTAGGACCTGGCGTCCACATGTGTGGACATCACACTTTAAGTATAAAAACAATAATAAACACAAAGTTTTGGTTCCATAACATTTTTCTATCATTGCTTTATTATGGATTAGGTGCAGGAGTTGTTAAACTGTATAATTAAATAATAGATGAATTCAATAGCAAACTGTGCCTCGTTCTCATACGGACAGCAAGTGGAATGTGATAGATGAGATGAGGAGATGGAAGGAAGAAGAGAGGCAAAGAGTGATTCACAGGCAGAGCTTAGTTTATTTCCCACAGTTTTGTTGCCTTATGGTTCCAAGCGCTGTCACAAATCTTTGCGTTAAATTATTATCTCATAACACTTGTTTAATCAGCTACCATCTCTCATGTGGACTGTTTAATATCTACAGTCTCAGATCAACACAGCCCTGCCCTCCAGCACTATCAGCAGCAAGAGCAGAAGCAACCCCCCAAACAGCAACATTGTACTCCAATCAGGTAAAACATAGGCTACGTTTGCTTTGCATTGTGCCCACCTGATGACATTGATGTAGTGTGATGTGATTCCATATTAGATTCTTGATGAATGTGGGTTGTTGTTGTTCAGCCTGCTTCTATGTGCCCTTTTTAACTGTGAGCACCCGCCCCTTTAAACATCTCTGCACTGCCCTGACTAAATGTATATATAAACTGTCTCTATGGTTTACAGTCTGAGTCTGACAAGCTGTCAGCTGTTCATTTCTGCTATTTGAATTGTTAAAAGAAACAAACTATTCATTTAGCAGATTAACAAAAAGAATTGAGAGGCATCCAGTTATTGACATTTATATTATTTAGTTAAAGGTTTGAACAGAAAAACAATTAAACACAGAGCCTCTTCCTGCTTTCTGGAATGAATCACAGCATGAAAACCCTTCCTCTTCTTCCTGCTCTCTAGCTAAGCACCTCCTGTCTGTCCATATCTTTCTGTGTTCCCTCCCCTTTAGATCTACATTATGAAGATGGGTGTAATCAACATGTGTTAGAGCTGGCAGGCCCCATTCACAGCAGCAACACATGTTGTTCAGATCAGAGGTCAGACCAGTTTCTATAATAAGGAAGTGAAACTTAGACAATCACTGACACTGAGAAGAGAAATGGCGCAGAAAGGAGTTCAGCTGGATCGAGAAACTTTCTCTTGTTCGATCTGTTTGGATCTACTGAAGGATCCGGTGACTATTCCCTGTGGACACAGCTACTGCATGAACTGTATTAAAAGCTTCTGGGATGAAGAAGAAAAGAAGAAAATCTACAGCTGCCCTCAGTGCAGACAGACTTTCACAGCGAGGCCTGTCCTGGTGAAAAACACCATGTTAGCAGTTTTAGTGGAGGAGCTGAAGAAGACTGGACTCCAAGCTGCTCCTGCTGATCACTGCTATGCTGGACCTGAAGATGTGGCCTGTGATGTCTGCAATGGAAGAAAAATGAAAGCCTTCAAGTCCTGTTTAGTCTGTCTGGCATCTTACTGTGAGAAACACCTTCAGACTCATTATGATTCACCTACATTCAAGAAACACAAGCTGGTGGAGCCCTCCAAGAAGCTCCAGGAGAACATCTGCTCTCGTCATGATGAGGTGATGAAGATGTTCTGCCGTACTGATCAGCAGAGTATCTGTTATCTCTGCTCTGTGGATGAACATAAAGGCCACGACACAGTCTCAGCTGCAGCAGAAAGGACTGAGAGGCAGAGAGAGCTGGAGGTGAGTCGACAAAACATCCAGCAGAGAATCCAGGACAGAGAGAAAGATGTGAAGCTGCTTCAACAGGAGGTGGAGGCCATCAATCAGTCTGCTGATCAAACAGTGGAGCACAGTGAGAAGATCTTCACTGAGCTGATCCATCTCATCCAGAAAAGAAGCTCTGATGTGAAGCAGCAGATCAGATCCCAGCAGGAAACTGAAGTGAGTCGAGTCAAAGAGCTTCAGGAGAAGCTGGAGCAGGAGATCACTGAGCTGAAGAGGAAAGATGCTGAGCTGAAGCAGCTCTCACACACAGAGGATCACATCCAGTTTCTACACAACTACCCCTCACTGTCAGCACTCAGTGAGTCTACAGACTCATCCAGCATCAATATCCGTCCTCTGAGCTACTTTGAGGATGTGACAGCAGCTGTGTCAGAGGTCAGAGATAAACTACAGGACATTCTGAGAGAGCAATGGACAAACATCTCACTGACAGTCACTGAAGTGGATGTTTTACTGTCACGACCAGAGCCAAAGACCAGAGCTGGATTCTTAAAATATTCATGTGAAATCACACTGGATCCAAACACAGCATACAAACATCTGTTATTATCAGAGGGGAACAGAAAAGTAACAAAAATGGAACAACAACAATCTTATTCTGATCATCCAGACAGATTCACCTTTTGGGGTCAGGTCCTGAGTAGAGAGAGTCTGACTAGGCATTGTTACTGGGAGGTGGAGTGGAGAGGTGGAAGAGGTTATGTAGCAGTTGCGTACAAGAATATCAGCAGAGAAGGGAAAGGGAAAGAATGTAACTTTGGACGTAATGACAAATCTTGGGCATTAGATCGTAACAACAGTTTTTGGAACAACAACATCCAAACTCCTGTCTCAGGTCCTCGTTCCTCCAGAGTAGGAGTGTACCTGGATCACAGAGCAGGTATTTTGTCCTTCTACAGCGTCTCTGAAACCATGACTCTCCTCCACAGAGTCCAGACCACATTCACTCAGCCGCTCTATGCTGGACTTTGGCTTGGAGAGACTGCAGAGATCATTAAACTGAAATAGTTTCCATTTTATTTTCACAGAATCATTGTTTTGACATTTTGTGCAATATATATACTCAAAAATGGTGGAGAAAATGTGAACCTAATCTCAATGACTAACTGAAGTAGTAGTTATAAGTACATATTTTCAACTTTCTTCTTCATAAAAAAGAAAGAAGTCAACTTTTGCTTCACTTGATTTTGACAACAAAAAAGATTTGATGCAATGATTCATCACAGGTAAAGTTACACACATTTTTTGTTTTGTTTTGTTCCACATTTTTAAGCATTGGACAAATTACCTTTCTTTGATGTGTCTCAATTGGATAAGTAGAAGAAAATGGATGGCAATAGATATGGCAATAAATAAATAGATGCATGAAAGCTTTAAGGTATTTCTTGTTTTCAGTCTTTTTTATGCAATAAAAGACTTTGTTATTATGTTTACTATCAAAGAAGTTGTAAGCATTAGTTCTCAATCTAGGAAATGGAGTTGTTACAGCAGAAACCTGAAACATTACTTTTACCAGATTTATTAAAGCTACCAGAATAACTATGAAAACAATTTAAAATAGTTTGAACAAGTAAATACAATGCTGAGCTTAAATCCAGAATAACCTAAACTACAACAACTATGCACAGTGATGCGCAGGCACTCAGTAGGCCACAGGTGTCAAACTCCAGGCCTCGAGGGCCGGTGTCCTGCAGGTTTTAGATGTGTCCTTGATCCAACACAGCTGGTTTAAATGTCTAAATTACCTCCTAAACATATCTTGAAGTTCTCCAGACACCTATTAATGAACTAATTCTTTGATTCAGGTGTGTTGACCCAGGATGATATCTAAAACCTGCAGGACATTGGGCCACAAGGCCTGGAGTTTGATACCCCTGCAGTAGGCAAACGACAGGCTTTGGTGGCTGAAGCTGGGGTTGTGCCTCTGGCTCAGGAGGAGAGGGACCTGCAGGTTTGGTCTCTGATACAGGCGGAGGCATGGAAGCCGTCTTAGGGGAAGCATCCTTAGAAACATTGTCAATAGGTTCTTTTCTAATTTTGTTCCAAGTCACACACAGAATTAATTGAGACAGAACAGTCAATGCTCAGGGACAACACTTTCACTCATATTTAGTCCAGAAATGTTCACGTCACATTTTCTATACCAAACTCACACAACCTCTGGAGGAATTGGCCAGTTTAGAAACACCAACGTAGAATAGAAAAGCCTTTTTTGTCATTGGACATGTACAACTAAATTGTAGCTTGACAGTTATACAATCATACAACTGTTATACAACTTCACAGTTATACAGTTCAAAAAAGTTCTTTTTGGACTTTAAACTCATAAAATCAGAATTTAAATAAACATCGGGAACACTGGCAGGTTCAGGAAGAAAATAATCTGTCCTTAGTTTAATTGGCAAGGAAACAGAAAGCACAGACACAGAAAGCTCTGGCCACTCAGAGTGACGCCGAAAACCAAGTTCATGTCAAGGGGTGTGGAAGCAGGACCCAAACACAGGACTGTGCAGCAAACTGTGAACTTATTTATAGTGAATAACAATAATGACAAGAGCAAACAATCCTCTGTGTGTGAGTTTTTGCTTCTTGTGCTTGCTTCTTGCTCCCATGCTGTGACTTCTCAAGTGTCCTTGGTGAGTTTCTTTCCCCCTTGTGGTGTCTACGTACAGAGCGCTCAACTCCCGTGTCCAACACTCTGGGAAAACAACAAGCAACTGGTAAGTACACGCCACTTCTCAACTCCAAAAACACTGTCCCACAATTGCTGGGAAATAACTGATTTCTCTTAACGATCCAGCATCGACTGCAGCTCAGCTACTCCGTTAATTAGCCCTCCAGACGAGGCTGACAGGTGCATGTAATTATCCCTCAGGTGGGGCTGGCTCCACTGCAGGGAAAAACTCTCTGGGCCTGATGTTGCAGGAAACTCTGGGGACCGCCCCACACACACACACACACACACACACACACACACACACACACTCGTACAGATGGAAATGTGGGACTGGGAGAGAACAACAACGAACATATGACAGCATGGCATGTTAAACAGAGACACGGGCGACCAGCGAGGACTGCCTTCCCAAGACAACCCCAGAAATATAAATAAGTCCACAAAAAACACATGAACCCTTGACAGTTCATGCATTTATTACTTCTAGGCTGGACTACTGTAATTCATTATTATCGGTTTTCAGTTTGCGGTGCTTTAATGTGCCCTGCAGTGGTCAAATTTGTGTGTTGATCATCTATACAGCAGCTTTTTGTCAGTGTGGTTAAACCGAGGGTGACATATTTTCTTCACAAGACAAAGTGCTGCATGACTTTAACTGTGAAAACAAAATATCTTGTTTTTTTACTCTCAAGCTTCCTTCTCCTTTTCTGTGAAACAAAGTTCTGGACTCTCTTCCCCCCCCCCAACTAAGATTTAACTGTGAAAAACAGATTCAACACAAAGCAGTAGAGGGCAGTAAAAGACCAATTTATCTGGTCGTCTATGTTGTCTTCTTTGTCAGAGTGAGGTTCTTGTGGAAGAACACATTGTACCTGTTATGCTTTGCATGATAAAAATATAGCTTTTCTCTTAATATTGTATTTAGGTCCCGTGCTGTTCAAGAAAATAAAACAAAAATGTGAACTAACACCCTAACAGTAACTCGGCTCACGGCTTGGATAGGAAGGTAGTTCTTATACTGGCCAATCTAAACAAAGCTATTCGGTTTCATCTGACTAATGAAAAGAGTCAAAATATATTCGGTATGTCATGGTCCTGTCATGGTCAGCAGTATGACTGTTGTGACTCTTGTGTTTTAACAAAGTTATTCCACATGAGCTGGATTTCAGTGAAAGAGTTTGACAGTCTGCAATCCTACAGTCAGAGTCTACTGACTGTAGCTGTCAACAGTGAACTTTTACTATACACATTTTGTGTGTGCTAATCCCATTTGCATCAGTATTAATCAGTGTAGTTACACGGAGGGTGCTGCTAGTCTCCTACTGCATCCTGTATACTTTCTGTACAAGATGAAGAGCTGCATAGATTTAACTGTGACAACAAGGTTTTGGTACCTCCTCTGTAAAATACAGTTTTGGCCTTTCTACAGTCACATCCATGAGATGAGCTTGATTACAATTAGGTTTAACTGTCAAAAGATAAACTTCAGAAAAGAAATTATGATTTGTCATTTTGTGTTGCACTGTGTTGCTTTTATTGTCCGATGAAGGTTCTTTGTTCTGCTTTTGGTTTGTTTTTCTATCTAAAAACTGAAAATGTAGAGTACAAATGCAGAATACACAAGTGTTTAAAAAGCCATTTTATCAGCTCAGTTCCTGAAGCGGTCACTAATGTGTCTGTACATCTGCTGTATTTGAATTATTGCAAGGAACAGAAACATTTCATTTAGCAGATATAAAGTGGAAACTGAGAATTGAGAATTAATTTTTTTAAAAATCTGTTACAAAAGATTTGGACAGAAAAGGGGAACATACAGTCTCCATCCCCTTCCTTGAATGAATCACAGCCCTCCCCGATAACCCTGAGTGGAAAGAGTTGAAAGAGGAGTGAAAGAAGCCATCTATGTCCACTGTGAGCGACCATCTTTGAACAGAGGCAGTGGTTTACGACACCAACTCTCTGCCATCTATAATCCAGTTTTGAGATCCCTCCCCAGACGCCTTAACGCCCACTCACATCCTGGGCCATCTGACCTCAGGAATTCACATGATAGGGTGGGGCCAGGTTTCACAATGAGCTCACTCGAAACCCTTGCTGATTGGGACCCACACCCAGTTTCACACCTTGGCTCATGTGATTAGGTAGAGGATAATCAGGGGGTCCTTTTGTCCCTCTGTGGGGGAAACTCCCACTAGGTTTATATCTGGGACTCTCCACCATTTGACCCTAGAACTGAAGAAGCTTCTCGGATGAGAGGTGAAACGTCTTCAAGTAACTTAAAGAAGTCCAGACGCTTTTCTTTGCAAGCTCCTTTGACTATGATGACCTGGATGACTGAGAACCTTCACAGACATTTCATCTTTCACTGTTCAATTCATCTGTTGAAGGTGTTCAGCTCATGTCTGTCAGCTCTCATGACATGAAGTTTAAAACAAAGAAGTTCCATCTGGAACTTCCTTATTTTAAACCAAATGAGTTGCAACAGGAACTCCTTTGTTCTATTGTAAGTCAGCAATGCAACAAGAGCACATGCATCCATTTATAGCCTTCAAAAGACAAAAGCATCATTCCATTGCAGATTAGGCAATTTTTAGAATATTTTCTGCTTGATCATCTTTGATTTGCCTAAAATTTTGTCTAAAAATATTGTTTGAGCACATAGTATGATTGCTATGACACTTCAAGGTTATATATCAAACACTTTTCAAAATATATTTCTACCAAAAAATTTCTGTCAACCCACTTTTGGGCCTGTTTTTGACACATTCAGCTGTCTGCTGTGATGAAGGGTCTCGAGATTTTCATTAAACAGCTTTCCTTCAGGAAAAAGAGCATGACAACACATTGATAAGCATGGTAAGGCATTATTAGGAAATACAGAATAAAATGCAATAATAAAAGGCAATATATGATTCCTCTGTCAATCAATTCATGGATTTACTAAACTGGATTAATAGCTGGAAAGTAACTTACTGTGCTGTGATTTTGATCTTCAAAGTCACAACACATGCACGGTGGTGCAGTGGTTAGCACAAGTCAGACACTGATGCTGGACAAGAAACCCTGGCTTGCAGTCTTCACTCTAATTCATTCTTAAAGTTTTTCATTGGGTTGCTTGGACCAGTGGACCTTGCTTTGTGCACAGTCATTCTGGATCAGGAAAGGGCCATCCAGCTAATATGTATGGCATGTTCAGGTGTTTGATTTTATACAATTGTACCCAAGTAATTGATTGGAAAGCTGAATTCAATTATTTTGATGGTTGATCAAATACTTTTGGCAATATACTATTGATTAGTGAATGGTTCCCATTGCTGACCATGTGTGCTACTTGTTTTTAAACCTTTAATTAAAAAAGAAAAATTCTGCTAAAGTTTTGTAATCAGTGTGACACACACAGCAAGTTCATGTAATGTAGCTGCAGGTTTACATTTCAGACTGTATAAAAGGACAACAATAACTGTTAATGTATTTAATTTTATTTTATATACAGTTCTGAAATCTAGAACACAGGTTTTAAACCATGTAAGGTATCAGATAATTTACCCGTCAGCCTCTTAAGAGTGGAAACGTTTGTGCTAAAGGATGACAGTCATAACTTTTTTGTTTTAAAACAAAGAAGTTCCTCCTTTGATTTAAAAGAGGAAGTCTGAAATTGGAAAGATGCCCAAAGACTGTCACAGAACA